TTTATTTCATAAATTAAATAAAAGTGTATAAAACATTTTGATATTTATTTTAAATTAAATAAATAAACGGGAAATTGAACAAACCGTTCGGGTTCCCAACAACATGAAGCAACACAATTATTTTGATTTAGTAAAATTAGTGCGCTTTCTTTAAAACATATACATATAGAAACATACACCCAAATTAAATTTACACCAAAATTATTAATTAACGTTACCTTTATTAATTTAAACAATGAGATTAAGTCAAAGTCACATAACTGACAATTTGCACAGACGAATTTTCATAAATTGTATTATCCTACTATTGTTACACAATTTATTAACATACTCTTGATAACGATAGCAGAAAATAGCTATCGAAACGTCAAGGTAATTTTTCAAATGAATTTCTCTACTAATTGAAATTTTCTCTTACAGCTTGAGCCTAAGTGTCGCAGGATACCCTCTAGGTGCTAGTTCTTGATTACTTTTTGATAAATAATTCGTTCTTATTGCGAAATAGGAGCACTATTTATCAATCTGTAATAAAAGACGTGAGGAACTTCTGTCTTTTTTTAAAGACAAAAATTTTTGAGGCGAAATACCCAAAAAGAAGTTTGTAAAAAAATGAATCCGCCTCAACAATATAGAACTTATCAACAATAGTATACATATATATGTTCTTTAAATGTGAATGATTACTTCGGTGACAGTGCGGCTGTTACAGCAAGTAAATATGCGTTTACTGCATTTTTTTAACAGCGAGGACGTGTTTAAATTGGAGTTCTTCACCAGCATAAATACTGATTATTATGTTACCTACATCTTTCGAGTGTTTTAAAGAAATGTTGATGTGGTCACAGATTTTTTCTCATCGATTGTTATTTATTTCTGTGATTTGAGGTTTTTTCAAGCCAGAGTTTTGATATATTTTCTAATTATCCTAAATGTCTACAAATGCATACAGAAAAGTTTTAACTTACCGGGGTGAGCCGCTTAGCCAGCGGATCACGGGGATAATTGTAAAATGTATTTGTCACACATTTCGAGTCTATGGACCGGCTGTTGGACAGTTTAGTTATCCAAGCTCTATAGTCAGAAAATCTGCTCCACCTTCTATTCATATGGGCTTCTCCCAACATTTTGATCAGCACGCTTGCTATTATGGGTCCTAACGATGCGTAGTTCAAGTATGTGGGAACGCCCCAACCGTAAATGGGAGGCCTCAACATTGCAGCCGACAGAACTGAGCAAATTTCATTAGCTTTAATGTCGGTATTGCCCTACGCACTTTCCCCGATTTATTGGCCAATAAAATGAACCAATAATTGAAGGTCATCAGATATGAACGTAAAGAGTCGGGCTGTAAAGCGACTCAGACCACGTTGAAAATTATTGCATATTGTCAAAATTTTCTGGAAATTGTTCGGGTTATTTGTTGTTTGCTGCCTGTGCCATGGCCGTGTTGACAGGGATTAGGGGCTAGGTTATTTTTTTATTGTGTTTTATATGTTGAATATCTGTGTTGCATGCAATAAGCCTAGCAAATTAATGAAAACAGTCGTCAGTAAGTAAAACAGTAAGGAATTTGGCTCATGCGCTATTATCTACACATCGTCACCAACACAGAACAACTGAACTAAAGTATTTAAATTTTTGTCGGCTTTTCTGAAATGCACCAGTTTATTGGGGAAACAATAACCAAGTTAGTCGATGTCGGCCCAAATGAAGATGATCTTCAATAATTGGACCACTTATTTGGAAAATAAAGACGGGGACAGTGCGTAGTGTCCGACATAAGATAAAATAAAAAAAGACTTTGTACTCACCAATATTGTTAGTGCCTGTTTCATAATACGCGTCGACTGACAATTTAATTGGTTTCTTGAATTCTTCTGGTTTCTCAGGTTGTTTACCGTCGTATTCTACGGGAAGGTTTTTAAATTCCTCGTGAGCTTGTAGTCTAAATATGTTCCTGCGCGTAGCCATGATGTTCTGGCCCACAGCTTTCTGCAAAAAAACCGAATTAGAGAGGACAGTAATTAAATTAGATAAAGAAATAATAATAACAATAATTTAACATGTAGGTGGGTGTAATACAACTTAATTAGGCAAATATGCATAATTCGAACAAAAATTGACTTATTCTCCCCGATGACACGGAAAGTTTATACGACACGGAAAGTTTAATCACTTTCAAATAACTTTTTGATACTTTGCGAAAAATTGAATGAAAGGAGCAAATTAAACGTTTTCTTACCGTGTGAATTCCGTAAACTCTCTCGAATAAAGTTGTTTGGAAAACTATGTCGTCCCATCCAACACTTATTGTAATATTATTTATCCAAGTCTGAAAATGAACGTCAACGGTGCCGTTCAAGTATTTTTCTTGATAAAGCCTGTTGACCATTGCAGTTACAATATTGTTCGTCAATACTTGCACATCACGTCTGGTTTGATTTGATACAGTTTTAACAATGTACTCGCGTTCTGCGATATAGGGAAATCTAAAAATTTAAAGGGTTTTAGTTGAAACTTGGTCCAAGTCAATATCACGAAACTGTTCGTCAACAATGATAGGGCTGACAATAACGCCCGTTCTTCATATAATTTGTTTCAGGACTAGCTTCGTTACGGAACTATCGGTCTTCAAAGGAAGAAATTGATAACATAAATGTATTCTTAAATATTACACCGATGGGAAAAAAATTGTATCAAAATGTTGACCCAAATAATTTTTCAAATTAAAACGAATCCGTTACCTAAATAAACCCTGCAATAGTTAAGAATCTATTTAATTTTTAATCTTATCATTTTATCATTTTAAAGGCCCATAGTTTCAGAACGAAAAGAAACCATCTCTTTTCGTTCATAACAGATAAAAGACCTATACTTGGTGATTCAAAATGGGCGTCATTCCTTTTAAGGGGTAATACAGCTCACTTATAGAGGACCAGAGAAATATTGGAAAACATTTTTTCAATAATTTGTTGACCATATTAACAGTTGAAAATCAAATTGCAATTATTATGTTCTAAAGCATTATTTTTAAATTGTTCCATGTTCAATTGGTAGCAATCAAAAAGAAAAATTACCAGCTTTGCTTCAAAAAACGAAAAATTTTTATATTTAAAAAGTTCTCTTTTCCAATTTTTTGATAAAAAGTCAAAGCGGCAATGATGTTTTTTGTCATTAACAAATAGTTACAGGTAGATAATCGCCTTTGTATTGATGTATATTGATGTAGCCTTTGTGAATAATAACAATACTTTGCCAAACTGTGACTTAATTTGAAGCTCTTTTCACGAATTTGCGGATATGCGATTAGTTCTCGGGAAATGCCACAGTAACAAAGTAGAAGCTGCAAGAACTCTGCTGCACCAAATAAATACCGAGGAAGGGCTACATTTCTACCACGTATATAAGATACACACAGCACAAGGGCACATTAAACCAATGGATTATGTTATAAAATTAAATGGTTAAATTTAACGAAAAACAGGACATTTGTGCCATTTTCAACGAAAATTAATTCCTAAATAAGCTAACATATTCCCTGAGGTTCGATATCTCATATTAAGGAAATGTCAAAGGCACAAGTTAAAACAGATCCAAATATGACACTGAGGGTATCGTTTGTCTATTTAACACGCCCTAAACTTGTTAAAATAAGCTTACAAACTTATGGCTTCTCTGTAACAAAAGTTCGCTCGCCATTTAAGGTATTCATCTGCATCCATTGTCCCATTTATCAATCGTGCTGGTAGCTCGGCGTAAACTTTTATAGGATAACAAACAGTCAACATACCCTCCGACAAATATTCGCAATGTTCGGCAATCAAGACAATAACTATAAACATTCGCCAAAGTCTGAAAAACAAATGAAAACTTTAGATACATATTTTTTTATCTTTTGATGGTGACAAGTCTCGCTATTTTCACTTACCGGTGATTTTTTACATTAAGTAGAGTGAAGAGTTGGATAAATTTTGGGTAGTCGCCGTAACGGTTGACTATAGGGGTTGTAAATTCAAAATAGATTCCCGTTAATTCAGTCAAAAATGATTTCCAATCAAGCTGGTGGGACTTATCGGGGTCAAGGTGTAGCAGTAAGGGATAATTAATAATTGGGAGATAATTAGGGCGCGTATCCATAACTGGTTGATAAGTCTAGAATAATAAATTGATCAGTAAAATGAACTATAGTAAAACCGAACATATTTAATTTAAATGCGCTTGAAATCAATCATCGATTATGTTAAAATAAAACAAAATGCTTAAATAAAAGCTCAAGAGGTAATAGTATGACATCTGATAAAAGCAAAAATTATCCCATCCATAGTGAGAAAATTCCTACACACCTTAAGCAATTTTAGACCAGAGTACAAGACAACTTTGCAAGCAGACGGTATGCCAACAGCTACCACAAAAATATAGTCATAAAACAACTGAAACCTGAATAAAATAGTAACAAAAGGAATACACACCAAACAAGCCTTAGGTATAAAAAGAAGCAGACCCGGAGAGAAGAATTATTGGTTTATCGATGAGCTGCAAGAAATGAAAAAACCAAAGCAATAGTTATGCCACAGATGCTTGGATTAGATGAGGTAATCAACCTGGAATTAGACGGCCAAGGTTCAATCAATATTGGTTATTAACTCAAAAACAGTTGAAAATAATTATAGAACATTTACATCGAATTGGCTAGGAAATGTGCGAATGGTTCGAATATGCAATAAAAAGTACGGCATTCCTTTAAAAAAAGAGGTAAGTTTGGTCTGCCACTTGAATTTGAGACACCCTGTATCAATTGGCATTATCTTAAAATGAACTAGACGTTAACGTCTAGTATTAATATCTACAACCTCTGTATTTAACATTTTCCTCTAAACTTCAAGTTCATCTTATTCTTGGTTGTTTTATTTCAGGATATTTGTTGTACATGCAAAATAAGCATAATTTATAGAAAAATGTTTTTGACCAAAGAACCGGATCAAATAATACTCGCTTTTAAAGGATTCAGCCTAAAATTAGGAAAAACCGTGGAAGATACCGAAAAACAGCAATTAACAGAAAAAGAAGATGAAAGAGAATAAGACCGTCAACAACCTTGATAGAAAGGAATACAAAAGCGATGTCAGCCAAAAACTTCTCAGATGATGAATGGCAAAACAGACAGGCCTGGCGATCGGAAACCCAAAAACGTGTAACGCTATGAAAGGGATTTATATGTTTATGTATAATGAAACAACTTTGAGGAGATACAATTGACTGAACTATAACTTAACTAAAAAATCTTATTGTCATAGGAAAGGTAGATTGATTGAATAAATAAAGCATTTTTTTGACCCACATACTTAGCTAACGTTAATACTAATATTACTAAGTTACTCACTTTTAGCACGTCCTCGTAAAATTTGCTCAGATCGTAACTAAGTCCTGTTGCGTTATCGATATCAATTAACCATACGTCTTTTAAAGCTTTCAGGAATTTCTGAATATTATCTTGCTGGAAGAAGAGCCATATTCGTTGCAAATCTTGGATCGGAATTCGATTGAGCTAGATAGATAGACACAATTACAATAAGTTTTGAAACTATATGATAGTTAGACGGCGAGAGAGCGCTTGTGCTGTTTGGAAATCCTCTCTTAATAAAGTTGCGGTTAAAACCTTATTTCGATTAAGTGTAGTATGAGTAATTTTAAGGTTTTTTTCTTTTACTGTTAATTATATAAATAATATTAAAAAATAACAGTATCGTATCGTTGACCCGTTGGATTGTAACAAATGTTCAAAAGTAACTGGCAATTTGAACTGGTCCAAAGCAGGGATCATGAATCGCTATTATGGTAATTCAATCCGATTGCAGTGGTGAAGAATTATTCAAAAAAACTTAAACGACAGCGAATTAAACTATTGCAATGCGCTTCACTCTGAAACATCAAGGTTGTTCGATTAAGAGCGCCCGTTTGAAATCGCCCGATATTTTCAGAATCCTGGTTTTACATTAATCAAATCAATCGACACAAATCCGAAAATGTGTACATTATGGGTCATTGAACTATTTTAAATAATGCCACTGTGAGAAGACTAATGATGAAGTTTATCGAAATGAGTCTGTTATTGATGGTAAAACAAAAACAATTGATCGTCTTGGTCGCCCGAACAAAGGTGTCGCAACACTGCGCTAAAACTCGAATCCACTATCAATCGGATTCTAATAAAGATTTGGAACTTCATGCGTATCAAGTTGAACTGGCTCAGCTGCTAAATATTTTTTTATTAACGCAACCCATTTTTATCTTGATGGCAAAAATCCACTAGTGATTGTTGGGAAACAGATGTATCCATAAAAAGTCACTGTTTTAGTGCATTTTTTGTGTTAAAATTTGTGAAATATCTTGTTTGAAAATTTGTACCATTGAAATTGTACCATGAGTAATTTCCGGGTCAACGTTACTTAAAGCATTTTTTTCCGAAACCGATTTTTCTGACGGTCATTGAAATCCAAGCCGCTTAATACTTTTCTCCGGACACTTTTAAACCGAATTAACAAATGAGGAGATGTGCATTTAAATTAAAACAAGAAATTACACATGTTGATGCGCGATTTGTTAATTCATTTTATCCAGAGTGTACACACAAGATCCTATAACTCTTATAACGTGTTAGCCATCTTGGGGCTGGCGAAGAGTAAAATTATTTTATGCTTGAGTTAAAAGTATTAATTTTCCATTGTCTTGCCAATCAGAAACTACCGGGTGTTCCGTAAGAACACGACCAAAAGCGTACTGACACATTATTTGGCTCAAAAAAGACGATCTGACCTGACTTTTATTATGCCAAAATGTCTTGTTTCGTTCTGGAAATGAATATTCTAATGAAGCTGGTTGTGAATTTGTTCGTATATAACGCTCATTATTTACTTAAGCAACTAAAACTTCCAGAACCTTAGAGTTTAGCCCTACGTTTCTGAATTGATATACTCATAATTTTTAACATTTTTGGGTTTTTTCTAAAATTTTGAACAATTCATCTGCGCACTCTCCCGATATTACAAGAAACTTAATTTTAGATTCGTTAATGCAAAAAGTAATTAATGTCTAAACTTGTTAATTGGTAGCAAAACAGAAATAGTTTTTTTCGTAAAGACGGTGAAATTTACTATATTTTTGTAATAGTAAATCATAATTGAATATGATTATGTAATTTTATGTACAAAAATGTTCCATTTATTGTTAGATAATTTAAAATAAAATGTGTTATCCATTACTTACGGTTAATAGATATCTTTCTTGCTTTTTGTCGTAAACAGTGGAAAAGCCCATAAAAAACTTGTAAAAAAAGCCGCTTTTGAAAGCACGTAAGGTGACAGTCAGCCAATTCTCATTGCTGGTTACATTGTCCATGAATGGAAACCCACCAAGAATGTATTGAATTTGTGTGAGGAAATCGGCATCACGTGAATGGTTGATTATACTGGCATCCGCACAGTAAATGTAGTACTAAATGAAAACGATCAATTAGTTTGTTTGAGTTATTCGGCTAACTTAGAACTGTTATCTCAGAGAACTTTAAATGTTTTTTAAACCATGCGAAATACAATTTGGCTAAGCCAGTGGCTTCAGCGGACATCTAGCGGATTCTTTTGTCCGTTAAATCTTGCTAAAGTCACGAGGTTTATACAGGATTTTTAATACATGTTTTATTTCCATATAATTGTAGTAAACTCACTCTTCTTTGCGTTATTGCGCTCTTGCACAACTTGCCCTCTTCCTCCAAACTCATGGGTTTAGTAACGATGTTTCTCAGCGAAACATCCATATCATATTTCAATTTGGCCAAAGGTCCCCTCTCCCAAGCGTGCTCCAAACGGTTGTGAAAACTGCCACATAGATATGAGTTGAAGTCATCGCAAGGATCAACTGCGTGGTTTACGAAGCTCTCTATTTCGTTAGCTACTTTTTTATATGCGGCAAGATTGTAGGGATGCATTATAGGTTCCTTTTCTCGTCGATCTTGAATTTGATCAAATTAAGTGATAATTTTGAGCAACAGATCGGAAATGAAAGAATGTACGTTCACATCAAGAAACCGAGTTGTGGTGGCTTCTATTTACGAAAGAAATTGTATCTGGCAATGATCGTTCTGAATTCTACTTGATATGCAGACAATATCGCTGCTATAGATTTCATATGCTAGACGATTTCATTTGCAGAGCGAACTCAACTAGAAATTGAAGATATGATCTGGAAGACATGTGGTTTCAGCAGGATGGGGCAACGAGTCACTCAACACTGGCAGTTAGAGAGAGAAAACGAAAAAAAACACATTGCAAGAGAAATTTCCAGCACCCGTAATTTCGTGATTGAATGATGTCAATTGGCCCGCAAGATCATGCGACTTACCGCTGTTAGATTAATTTTTCTGGGGCTATGCGAACGATCGTGTTTACGCCAACAATCCTCAAGCTTTTGAGCAACTGCAAGACAACATCTGTGAAGTTATGACCGAGATATTACCGGTAATGTGCCGAAAAATCATTCAAAATTACCTCAAAACGATTGAGGCCTGTAGGAGGTCCCGTGGAGGACATTTAAATGCTATTGTTTTTCACGTTTACTGGCCTTGCCAGTAAASGTGATTAAACCTTTTAATCTTTAGTTTGAATTAAAATTTTCGCCTCCATCTGACTATTTTGTGTGTTTTTTTACTCTACTTTCCCGAGCATAAAATCGATAACCCTGTAGCTCAATTTATTGAAACGGGTTTTGTACTCAAAAATAAATTAACTATTTTTTCATCGAAAATGACTAAGCAAATTCAAATTATTTTTTGCTACCCAATACAGAAGTTTTTTTTATAGAAAAGCGTTATGATTTAGCTAGTCAACTACGGACTTTAGGAGTGTATAAAAGTRTATGAAGTTTATGTGGGCATTTGAATAATGGTTTTTAGCGGTAGACCCTTGCCGACTATCTCTATTTGTTCCYGACTTATAAACTTAAAAAAATGCTGCTTTTCTCAGAAAGCAAACCCTAGAAGAGAGCATAAATTCGGGTATAAKATAATATTGTACACAAGACTCCAACAGTCATAGATTGTTCCAGACGCCACTAACTCTAACTAACTTTTTTAATTGCGGAAATAATTACTTTCTTAGTGTCCGAAATTTTGAATAAAATGAAAGTTGAACTAGAGCTTGTTTTATCTTTTCCCACTAGTTAAAAATAGTAGATTAAGGGCGTCATGCACGCACTGTCGGGCCTTCGACTTTCGTCTCGCATACTGTATACTGTTTTTCTTGATTCTCGGAGAAAAATAGCGGGGAAAAGTATAGGGTTTTGAAAAAAACTTTGAAAGTATTGCCAAACCAGCCAACAGACAGACTTGGTTTAGCAGTTGGTTACTTACACGCATCTATAGATGGTTGAAGTACCATGATCAACAAGGCAATGATAAACATTACGAATGCAAGTCGCTGTCTTAAGCCAAAAGCAACACGCCATCCATCCGGATGCCTGTGGCCTACGTTTGGTCCATCCATAATTTTTAAATTACTGTGAATTCAACTTATATTAGGCCGGCTGCACTCGACATGTATAGAAGCAGTACTACATAAACTGCTTTCTATCAAAATTTTTCCACAATCTAAAGTGCGAAGCAAAAAACGCATTCATGTCATGGTTCTATATCTGGTTTTTTAAGCCAGTATATATTTTGCATGTATTGGAGCTTAAAAACTTTGAAGTTTGTGTTCATTTTTATATGTCTGTATATTTATCGCGTTGAAATATTCAGAGCTAATATTTGACATATTTTCAATATTTGAGCCGGTTTCTTTGATACTAAGTATATATTTTCGTTTACGTGGAAAGATTTAAGGTTTTGCCTTTGAATAATTTTAAATACACATGTATACCTACGTTATTACACTAGTTTTGAATGCTAAATTGATTTAAATTTATAGTAACTACTCAAGGGATCTCAATTGAAACAAAATAATTTATTTTTATCATATTTTTGTTAAATTCTTCAGCAATAAATATAGGAAAAGGCTTAATTTTAACATTTAACGGATGATTTTTAATTATTGATTATAAATCCTCGTTTCCTCTAAATGAAGCTTGTAGAACACTGTATATGGTTTGGCTTCTAAACCCCTTATCATGCATATTTTTACTCAATTTACTTCTTCGCCATTAATGTCCCCTCGCCTGCTGGCAATTGCATCTTCTAAAGATTTTGTAGCAACAAATTCAGCTTATTTCTTTTCAAGTAAGTTTAATTTAATTTTCATATACAGTATGAAATTCGCTCTTATTTGAAGAAACAAAATCAACTTGTTTCTTTTCATATAAGTTTAATTTAATTTTCATAAACCAATTTAGACCATGCTTTTAAAAGTAACAATAGGTCTTTGAGGATATTTATTTCAAAATAATAATATTTCTAACTTTATTAGGTATGAAAATTTTAACAGACTACAATAACAAGTTAGTAGTGAATTGAACCAATTTTTTTGAAGAAATCGACTCAACTGGTTCATGGACTGTATTTCCCATTTATTTGAACCAAAACACAACAAAATGCAAACTAGATTCGTTCAGTTGATTTATTCAAAAATGTTCTTAAACAAACACTGCACTATAATATAACAATAATTCCACTGATATGTTTACCAGAGACAAGAAATAATTACGACAACTACAAGCAAATATTAAAAATCAAACAATAAATTTTGTTTGCTAGAAGACAACGGACCTGCTTAAAAAGCCAATAAATTAAATTGGATTCTTCCAAAACTTACTGGGGAATACATTGTGGTTTGTGTATGGTTTTATTTATGGAACATGAGAAATCCAGTAGAAATTGAGCACTACCTTCTTTGTGCATGTTTATGCGTAGTCTCGGTATCACATAATAGTTGAAGGGCAGCGGTTTATTCAGTTGTTTTAGGGTCAAATCGATGTTTTCATATTCCATGTGCTGGCATAGGTAGAAGCTACTCATCATCCAAAATATTTGACGGGTGCTTCGATATAGAAAGCCTGTAAATTAACATGAAAGGAAAATTCAATATATGTGAGAGGGATACAGTATTTTTTTCTGCCAAAAAGATCGCAATATTTTAAGAGGCACATCAAGAATTTTTCATCAACTATTTCATTGTGACTTCAAATATTTAACGAGTTTGCGGACCAGTAAAATACGCATACCCAAATTAACATAACTCAATTTCATTGAACTTTGCATTGGCCTGTTTAATAATAAAACAAACTTTTTTCCTCTTGTGTTATTTTCTACAGGAGGACGATCTCTAAGAATACTGGTTCACAGTTAACAGTTTCATGATCCTGCCCAGCAGAGTCATTCTGCTGTAGATTTCAGGCTTATTACTTTGTTATTTTTTTTATTGATGCAGTGAAACTTTTGTGCTCGTCAGTGCATCTACTACACTTTTGTAAATTTTCTTGGTAGTTTCTCACCGCCACGCTTTATGAGATAATTAGAAATGTTGTCTATTCCTGGGGCGTATCTTTTTCTCACACTTCTTCGGTCTGATTCCCTTGATCTTTTATCTTCAGCTTAACGTCTTTTTCCGTGAATGCTATTCTATTTGCAATTTATTCTTCAAATGGCCTTAATTTCAGCCGTTGTCCATATTCCAATTTGATGTATTTTTCAATCGAAGTTTTCCAATTGATTTGAATATGTGCGAGTTTTGTGCCAACACAAACTGCATTTTGGAGAACTGCACAATTGCAAGATACACGAAGAACGAAGTAACTAGTGATTACAAAATTTGCGTTCGGAATAACTGAAAACACAGCAACTTGGAACAAAGTTAATATTGTTGATACGTTCTATATGATTGAGGCGGACTCATGTTTTGGAAACTCTTTTCTGGGGTATTTCGGCTCAAAATTTTCTATATAGTGATAACGAAAAACTTAGGCAATTTTGGCACTTCGGTATACAGAAAACCTACTCATACAAATATATTTGAATTTTAACTCAATTCGCCCGATAATGGCAAAACAGCATTGTAAAAAGTGTATATGATGCTTATAATGAATCTAATTTTTCAAAAAAAAATCAGTTTATAAACGAAGTTTTAAATTTGAATAATTTTACAAATTCCCCCATTGACAAACGGTTTAATGAAATTTAAAATCCAAAATGAAAACGAAACTAAAATGGAACTATTACATTTACAACCAAATTAAAAACCTATGTTTTAGATTAATTCCGAGGATTTCAGATAGCAATAAACAAAAGGTAACAAATTCTTAATGAGAACTATCTTCAAAACTGCAAATACAATTCGAAGCAAGATTTCAAGCACAAAACATAATGACAAAACCGAAAATATACAAAAGTAGTTTAAAAAATTTCTTGCCATTTTGATTCCAAATAATCGCACATAGCAAACAATTTTTTGTTATAGATTAGGCAATTATTAACATGCATTCGATAATTGCCACCAAAAGCCGAAAATGTGTAAAAAGCGAAAACTCACAGCGATTGTGAGCCTTGATATACATTTTTTAAGTTACTAGGTCTTTTTAGGCAGCTTTGAGAACGACTTTGAATCTGCTATCGAGTTTTATTTCTTAGAATGACTTTCTTGTTATAAAAAATTCGTTCTTTACTGTGAAATAAAAAAGGGCATTCGTTATCAACCGGCAATGGAAGAGGCGCGGAAATCCTGTCTTGTTAAAAGAGAAAAATTTTGATGCGAAATACTCAAGACAAAGGTTTTGAAAAACTTTATATTTGAAGTTTAAAGGTTTTCTTGCTTGAAATTTCTGAAAAATACTTGCCTGGCAGAAGTTTTGCATCTTGAAACCGTGGCTCTCCGCTGTTTTCGTACGCTTTGTAGGCGATATTGCTTGCGTCCCTGTCAGCCGCAACTTCTTCCCAAGTTATGTTAACCTAGTTATAACATAGCAGAAATCTATAAATACGATTTTTTTTTCTACTTACATCACGTTCGAGATAATTTTGCAATACAGCTAAAATAGCAGATTTTGAAGGGCAGGATGTAACAAATCCTAAATTAGTCGAAATACGCTTAGTTTCTTCTGAACCAGCATAGCTGTCTGAAAAAATTATCTTTTTTTTTCCAAGTACATTCAAAAGGGCAGTACTGATAATGGTTCCCAGGGCGCCATAGTTCAAGTATGCTTCTCGTCGCGGAGAGTAAAGAGGCATTTGCAATAAGGCTGGCGATATGTCTAAGAACATAATAAAGTTTTAATTAAAACATTAATTATTTTAGGGTGCAGTTCAGAAATTTGCCACAATTACACAACAAGAAAACTTAAGATATTTGACTTTGTTTGATGATTGGTTTCATTGCATCTGTTATTTAGAAATCAGCTTTTCAGTAGTTTTTATAGTTTTACAATTCTAAATGCTTTTGGAGCACGAATGAAGAATTTTATTAAATGTATTTTCCGGTGATCCTAGTTATGTTTTTCTCCAATTCAGTTAATTCTTTTACTTCTGCAAGAATCATCATTTCTAGATAATTATATGTGGAAGCTAAGAAATATATCATTTAAAAATAAAAAAGTCAAATGTTTAAGTATTTTTGAAACATATTGGGACATCTTGCATTATGTTGAAATAGGTATGATATGAGAGTTTTGTTAGTCACTTTTGCGTTTCGTTCAGTTCAATTAATAGCGTGAAGCGAACGAAGAACATTTCAAAATCCCGCTCTGTGGGTCAATTGAAATAAATCCAAGCGAATTTTCTCACTAAGCACAATTTGAGCTGAGTTTTTTGAATATCTTCAAACATACAAATGCTCCTCACTGGAACCATGAAATGATTCGTTACTTGGAGCGTGAGAGGATTTGAGAGGAGTGATAATCATCTCAGTTTGGTCTTATTGTATAGCGCACGTTAGGTTATAGATAAAAATATGGTACTTACAAAAATAATCCTTGGTGTTTTTTTGCACATCAAAAATGTAATCCGCAGCAAGGCGGATTTTGAGCAGAAACAAGTCATACTCGCGATTTAAGTTCGGTAAGCGAGCGAGTTTTTTGAAATTATAATTACTCAAAGATCTGGCCATAAGATGACGGAAATTGTAAAAATCATCTGTCTCAATGTAGCCCTAAAATCAAATACATGCGATAATGTATTTTCAAAATGCTAAGATTTTTGCTGAAAATTTGTGAATTTACTAAAATGGTAAACTTTACCTCTACAACTCCAAATGTTTCCTCAAATTTCTCGATGTCAAATGCGATATCCGGGCCGCCAATAACCGGTGACATCTCTTGCATTAATTCACATATTTTATCACCTTCACATGACATATTTTCCCCGTTGTTTTTATTTACCCTCCTCACGGACGGAGAATAGAAAATCCGGATTTGATTTGCTATATGTTTGATTATCTTTTTGACGCCAGTCCTTGTTGCTTCTGGTACTAATTCTCGAACATACTGCGCTTCGGCAATCCCTGGAAAGCTGAATATGGGTCAAAATTAGCAACTTTATCCCAAATCAACATTGTTAATCAAAAGGTATAAAATTAAATAGCTTATTGAACTTCTTAAATGTGTAAAACCAATTTGGATTTAAATTTTCCCAGAATATGAAAAACGGCATACATATGTAGGAAATGGTTGATTTTGCGGTTTAAACATGCAGTTTGAGGTTCAGTTTGGTTAGCAACATAGCGCGAAAAGGGTTGAAAAAAGGTTCCACCGAATCATTGTGATGTAAAAAATATTGTAAATGGGCGTCGAGRCATTGTTCTAACCTGTAGRTAAGTTCYATATTGTTGAGGCGGATTYATTTTTTACAAACWTCTTTTTGGGTATTTCGCCTCAAAAATTTTTGTCTTTAAAATAGACAGAATTTCCTCACGTCTTTTATTACAGATTGATAAATAGTGCTCCTATTTCGCATTAAGAACGAATTATTTATCAAAAAGTAATCAAGAACTATCACCTAGAGGGTATCCTG